CTTAGCATAAGTAGCTGTGGACTTCCCAGAGCACCCGCAGAGATTATAACTTCACTTCTTTCAGAGCTGAGAAGAGCTGTGTGAGAGCGGCCAAGATTGTCAGTGTATAGAACTCCACGGCTGCCTCCTCCTGTAGAAGAAAAGGATTCAAGATCGATCGCAATTGCATCACGAGAACTTTACCTTGTAACAAGACTTTGTAGACTGTGGCATGGAGCAGCACATCGATGTTCTTGTGATTTGCATAAGCGAGAAGAAGATCTGAAGATGGATGACGCTGTCCGTGGCTATCAAATGTGTTTCCAGTCGTTTTTGTTCCAACAACGTACTTGTAGGTGAAACCAAAATCTGGCGTTACTCCGACTTCGAGCAGTGCTCCACGGATGGAATTCTGGAAAGCACTGAAGTTTCTTGGCCTGGATGCCACCACTTTCTCCACCCAAGCGTACGAGCTCTCGACCAAGTTCTTGTCGAGCTTGGCATCGCTGATAAACTCGTCTGGAGCACGATTGTAGACGGCTCCATTGATGCTGCTGCCTCCTCCCAAAACATTTGGCCTGATGCTTGCGACGCCATCCTCGGAAGTGAATGCCTGATTGGGAGCCTCCAATCCACCCGGGTTGGCGAAGGTGTTCCCAGAGTTCTCGATCCGCAAGAGCAGCGGATTTCCATACGGGGAGCCGCCTCGCTCGAGAACAAGAACTTTGTAGCGCTGAGATAGGGTTGCAGCGATCGCACAGCCAGCAGTTCCTCCTCCAACAACAATATAGTCATACTTGTGCTCTAGAGTTGTGCTGTTTGCTTCCCTGATAAATGAAACAGCACCATCATCGTTGGCCTCAATGATCCGAAGCGTGCAATAGATCACCGCGATGAAGAACAAGTGAAACTTCAACATAGCGATCAACACAGCGATACCAAACGAGGTGATTGTATATCAGGAAACTACATATTATATGTAATTTCCTGATATACACGTTTCGTATATAGTAATATCACGACGTTGCTGGCGATTGACTCGAGACTAAGTGTTAGGCGCATGCAGGCCAGGAATTGGCGGACTGTTCGATCAAACTATAGCAGCCTGGCACGGACTGAAATGACGCGGATTTAAGATACGTCTGCTGATTTTCGAACAGTGATAAGGTATGAAACGCAAGTGAAGTGTGTTTACTAGGAAGATTCGTCACAGTTCTCGTGGAAGTTCAGAAAAATCCAAGTAATTGTGTATCAAGATTCCAGAGATTTCATCAATTAAACACACTGTGCTTTTGTGCAGATCCAATTACAGAGAGCATTGCCATTGCCAAAGAGGTCTATTACTTTGTTAGTGATAGAAACATGACTAAGCTTTTGTGGCCCATAATTTACTGGCATTAGCTCCAGAAGAGGAAAATCAAAATTAAGCAACAGTGTTTTGGTGGAGCATTTGGAGGAACAATTTTAAATAATTATATAAATTTAAATATTACATATAGAAATTTCAATATTTTCTATATTTTGTAGGAACATTGATAAAATTTAATTACTTTAACCAACATAAAAATATGTTTCCAACTATTTTATATTTTATAAAATTATAATATATATTATTAAGTGAACTTTTCTTTATCATAAAAATAAATTATTTAATTTCAAAATATTTTTATTTTTATTTAAAATACTAAATTTAAGAGGATATTAAACTCTTCAAAAAATATAATAGAAAAATAAATATTAAGTAATAAAAACTGTTAATTATAAAAATAGAAATAATTAAATACTTTATAGCATTAGAATAAACTATTCAATGAAACATTAAAAGTTATTTTACATAAATATTTTAAATATATTTTTTAAATGAATAATTAACTATATTTTGTTATACATTTGCTGATACAAACCAAAAATATAACTAGTTATGCTACATTGACCACTAGTTATGACTATAAAAAAAGAAGTACACTAATTGTTAAAGCTCTAACATTTTTTTTAATTGTTTTAGTGATGAAATAATTACTCTTTATTAATATATTAATTAGGGGAGTTTCTATATATGTAATTTATTATATTTAAAAATATCAATATTTAAAAAGAAAAACTAAAACACTAATTCAAAGAATAAGTAAGAGATTCAGTTTATGATTTTTTATTGTGTTACTCTTTTGCTATTTCAAATTTAGGTAATTTAAATTATGAACATGATAAAAACTAAATTAATATATTTTTTCATTATTTCACATTTTAAAAAAATAGTCATTATAATTTGTTCTTGATTGATGCCACTTATAGCATAACTTTTCATTTATAATAAATATTTATTATGTTTTAAACCAATTTTTATATTTAATAATGTGTAAACTAATATAGTTTTAAACTAAATTGTAATGAAAATATTTTTTCATTTATTTATAATAATAAATATAAATTACAAGTTTCTTTTGAAGGTTTTTGTTTCTAGACATTTTGGCTTGCTATTTTTTCTAATGACATTACTTTCCTTATTTTGGATATATTTTCTTGATTAAATGGATAGCATTAAATTTTAAAAACCATAAAGTTTAGCTTTCTAAAATTATTTACTATTTTGTTTTACTGAAATTGACATCACAATCAAAGTTATACGATCAGTTCATATACTAATATGAACTTAATATGCTATACATATCTATGGAGCATTTTGAATTAGCTTCAGACAGGTGATATGTGGCCAAAAATTGAAGACTTTCCTCGAGTTCTAGATATTACCACTTGTGATTTTGTAATTCTAGTTTTGTTTGCACTTCTGTGATAAAACTAGCGTAACGAAGCTATTGTGCAAAGATATGCTCCTGCTTTGGACAAGGCATTGCCACAGCCTCCTAGAAATGTCATGCACTTTGATCAAAACTGGATCAGTGGATCAAGTGCTTTTGATCAAGTGCACTTGATCAAAACCATTTGCTCAAAGAAAAACCCTGAGAGAAGAAAGAAGTAGCCAAGCTATTCATGGAAAAACAGAAGAGGAGCTATTGTCTCATGCAAAGCAAGCAAAAGAGAAGCAGCAAGAGTGTGTTCAGGAAGAATGCAAGGAACAGGAGGTTTTGCAACATGTGAAAGAACTGCTCAATCAAATTGTGCTTGCGAGACTTGAATAGCTCGAGGCACAGATGGCTGCAGAAGGCAAGCAGGTGGCTGCACAGAACATTAAGCAAAACTAATGCGCGCTCATTGCTGTGCAAAACCAAAGGTTGAAGGCCTCAAAACTCATGAGCGTGAGCTCAGTTTGACAAGAAGGTTGAGGCTCTCAGAAATGAGGTTCGCGATCTCAGAGCTCAAACTGTGGCTTTCCAGGCCAAGGTTCTCAAACTCGAGACTGAGCTCACTGTGGTGTTCTTTGTCATACTTCAATTTACATAATTTTTTTTGTCTTACTATCTTTTCTCCTCAGTTGTCTACTTTTTGGTGTTTTCTCTTCAATCTTAAGACGATTTTGCTGCTGAAGCTCCCACAATTCCCTTCCTTTGTCTTTTTTGCTACTGATTTTTCTAGCTTGTAAATTATAGTTCAGGGAGCTTGCAATCACGCCACTACATTCTCAAGTGGGTAAACTCTCGAGTTCCCGCGCAAGAATTTTAGATCCATAAAAGAAAACTCTTGAAGAACAACCACATGAGAATCTTTCAACAGCACTATATCATTGGGATGAAAAGATGTTAAGTTGCAAAAACTTTCACTAATATTTGCAAAAATGTGTCATTTGCGAAATGAAAAAGATTGAACCATAGTTGTTATGGCATAGCTAAATAGCTTGTCTGTATTTGTCAGCAAACGAAGCTCACGAGATCAAAACGGCTTACTACAATTTGTGGGTCTCATGCGCCCCTGTAAGGGTTAATGAATGAAGGAATAAATACAAAGTAGTCAAGCTTAATGACACCTCTAAACCACTCTTGTGCTAATAAAATACACGTTTTGCATCTCTCTTCTTGGCACATAAGGATGAAAGGATGAATTTTCATTGCTCAGTTGTTTTGCGTGCGTTTGTGTTTTTCTTGCTTGGAAAGCGCTCTCTCTTTCGTTTGAGCGCCTACATTCCAATCCAATCCACAGTAGATGCTCGCAAGCGCCAGAATTGGTCCCGAGTTCCCTGGCTCCAGATCGAGCACAAGCTGCTCCGCCGCTCGAATCGCCCGCCCCAGATCCCTCTGGATCCGGCACCCATTGAGCAGCGAACCCCACACCGCGCCGCCGGGCACGAATGGCATCGCGTCCACCAATTCCTCCGCTCGCTCGATCTCCCCGGCGCGCCCCAGGAGATCCACCGCGCAGCACCAGTGATCGCACGAACTCTCGATCCCATAGTCCGCTTGCGTCGACACGAAGTAGCAGACCCCTCGATCGAGCTCCCCGGCGTGGCTGCAGGCGTCCATCACCGTGATCATCGCGACGCGGTCGGGGATGACGCCCGAGAGCTCCATCTCGCGGAAAAGCTCCAGCGCGCGCTCCGGATGCCCGGTCCGGGCATATCCGCCCACCATTCCGGTCCACGCCACGACCGTCCTTGACCGCTCGGGAACGCCGATGAACGCCTCCCAGGCGCGGTCGATCCGCCCGTTCTGGGCGTAGAGGCCGATCATCATGGCGCACGCGAGTGGATCCTCCTTGTCCGGGATCTCCCGAAAGAGCGATTCCGCCATGGCGACCAGGTTGTTCTCCGCGGCCGCCGAGAGGACCGAGTTCCACGCCAGGCCGCTCCAATTGGGCATCCTCGCGAGCGCGTCCCTGGCTCGATCCAGCTCGCCCAGATGGACGTAGCAGCCCAGGAAAGCGGCCCACGAGACGAGATCGTGCGTGGGCATTGCATCGAAGCACCTCTCCACCCCCTCGCGATCGCAGCGCTGGGCGTGGGCGTGGAGCATCGCCGTCCAGGAGATCGTGTTCCTGGCAGCGTCGGGCATGGAGTCAAAGACCCATCTCGCGAATTCGAGCTCGCCACTCGCCCCAAAGGCCGAGATGATCGAGTTGCACGACACAACGTCGAGCTGTGGCGAGCGATGGAAGAGACGCGCGGATTGATCCAGGTCTCCGGCTTGGGCGAATGCGAAGGCAATGCTCGTCCACGACGCCACGTCTCGCTCGGGCATCTCGTCGAAAATGGCCTTGGCCTGCACGATCCAGCCGCTGCGAATCAATCCCTGGAGCATCGAGTTTGCGGCAACACGATTGTGCTTCGGCATCCGCCCAAACACCGCCTTTGATCTCTCCAAATGCCCAATCCGGGCATACGATTGGACCAGCGCTGTCCAGGTCGCGATGCTGCGATCCACGCTCGCTATGAAAGCCTCCAGCGCTCGCTCGGTCTGGCCGGCAGCGCCGTAGCAAAGAATGAGCCCGACCCACGACCAAGAGTTCGCCTCCGGCATTGAATCAAACACCTCTTTCGTGCGATCGATTTGCCCGAGCTGGGCAAACGCTTGGACCATCAAATTTCCAGACACAGCGTTTCTCTGCGGCATTCTATCAAAGTATCCATTTGCTATGCTTGTTTTGCCTTCTTGAAGGAAAGCAGTGATCACTGTGTTCCAGGAAACCACATCCTTTTGCGGAGTTTCTTCAAAAAGCATCTTTGCCTCGTACACATGCCCGTTTTGGGCATATGCCGCGATCAAGATGTTCCACGAGATGGCATCGCGCTGAGAAATGGAATCGAAGACCTTCCTCGCGTTTTCGACGCTGCCACATTTTCCATACATGATGACGAGCTGATCGGCAAGGAACTTATTCGATCTGTGGGCTGGGCAGGCCAGGAGCCGGGAGTGGACGTCTTTGGCCTGGGCGAGGTCCTTTGCTTCGCCGCAGCAGCGGATCAGTGAAGCGAGCGTCTCCTTGGTAGCTGCAGCCGAATTGCTGCGTGATGCCACCAGCCTCATTGACCAGCATTGTCGACTGAACTAATTTCATGATTAGGGTTTAAATTTAAAAGATCCAGCAAGAAATGCAGATCGTAAAGACTAATTTAAAAAATATCTAAACTGTGGTAAACGGTAGGTAATGGTACTAATGCAGATTTTAAATGTTTCAAAGTTCTGTCACTGTTGGTATGTACAAAATACTATCAGTGTTTAAAGAGATTTATTTTAAAAGCTAAATAGTAAATAAAAAATATTTAAAAATATAAAAACAAAAAAAAAGTAAACATAAAATTTTGAAAAATTTGTAATAAAAACATATATGGCTCATACTCATACTATATTTTTATTTTAAGTGACACCATTAAATTAAAATTATACAAATAAATATATAAAAGTAGAAAAATAAAAAATTTAACTTCAAAATAAAAATATTACATGTTCCACTCTACATGCACTTCCATCACTATTTGTATATTATAGAAATCTATAAAATATTATAAGGAGCATAGGGTAAAACTGATTTTTCCAAAAAAAAGATTTAAATTTTTTTTTAAAAACTCAGTAGTAAATAAATAAAAATTTCAACAAATAAAAAAATAAAAAAACCTTATATTTATAATTACAAAACTGCATATCAGAAACTTTATTTTACTTAAAATAAAAATATTATCATATTCTTAATTTATGTTATTTTAAATTTTACATTTACATCAGAGAAAGATAAAAACAAATTCACTAAGATAAAAATAAATGTATAAAAACAATATTTTAATGATAAAATTTATTCTTTATAAATTAATTAAATAAGTTTTAAGGTTTATGTGAAAGTTATAAAAATAATGGAGTTATTAACATTTCCAAAGTCAATAAATTTTTAAATATTCAGTTGTAAAATAAAAAAGCTGTAAAACCTTTATATTGTTATAAAATAAATAACAACTAAGGAAAAGAAAACTAAACCTTTACAAAAAGATGCCAAAAATTACACATAACATAGAAAAAACACTATATTATAAAATAATTTTGATTATTATTTATCTTACTTTATGCTTATTATTATTTTTATTTACTGGTAAAAATAAATAATAAATCAGAATTTTATTATTAAATAAAATAAAACAAAAGCCGCGATACTGGGAGAAAGGATATAACTTTGGCCACAGACTTGCATTATCATGTTGGGCTCGTAAAGGTTCCTCCGAAATCTGGTTTGTAGCTAACAGCCATTGCTACCACAGCTTTGCATCAAAAACGATATTTATTTAATTATGATTCTATATAAGAAAATAAATTATAATAAAAATAAATTATCACAATTTTATTATTTTGCATTTATTATTTTTCTTAATTAGAATTTTTTTGTAAATTATAATATTTAAAATAATTAAAATTTCACAAATTCATATATTTTTCAATGAAGTTGAAAATAATTATGGCTTTATTATTGTTATTATAAGTATCCATAACTTTATTAGTCCATTTCTTTATAATAAAAGTTCTTTTAACACATAAAATAAAAAGTTCATTCTATTTAAACTTTTTTATAAATTTTTTTTAAAATAAAACATTTTTAAATTTAAATCTGTGAGGGCTGTATGGCTACGATGCCATATACTAATATTAACATACTGGGATTTTGGTAGTCGTCGCATTGGTTTCAATTCGGACCACTCACTCTTGTATATTGATATAACAATATACATATGATATGCATATTTTCTATATTCCCTTTCCATATTCCAAGCATTCACATTGGTGGAGGTGAGGGGCACTTTTGATTGTACCTAAGGAGTGTTTAGATTTGGGATTTTGGTTTAAATCTAGCTTTTGCATTGTCTAGATCTAGCTTTTTCCATTTCCTTTCTTTTATTCTTTCATTTCAGGATTTTGGTTTAAATCTAACTTTTTGTATTGTCTAGATCTCTATTTCCTTCTAGCTTTTTGTCATTTCTCTTTTTTTGCTTTTTCCTTTTCGTTGATCTTCATGGTAGATCTACAATCTCCTCTTTTGACTCTAGAGTAGAAGTTAGTACAATTGCTTGATACTATGCATTTGCAATTGAACAACCAAACTCAGTTGATGGCGGCATTTACGGCATGTGGAACAACTCCTCTTACTCTTGGTGCCAATCATTGCGTTCGGCCAGAGTTCTTTCATAGGAATCCTAGGGATGATGGTTCGATCACTTCACTGTGATTGCCATATATCATTCTTGGGATGATGCTCAACGTTTGCGTGAGTTTCCCATATGTTTCTAAGGAACGGCATTACAATGGTACAATATTTTGAGTGCAGCCACTCGTGAGGATTGGAGTGGTCTCCTGGATGTTTTCAAACGCATATTCGGACATGTTGACGATTGTGATAATGCCTTTCAACAATTGCATTGTCTTTGCCAAAGGCCATCTGAGTCGGTGATGCAATTTGGCGTTCGTTTTCAAAGTCTTTTGCTTCGTGCGGAGCCAAATATGTCGAAGTGGATCAAGCTAGGAATGTTGTGGCCAGCACTTTGTCAAAATCTTGTCAGACTTGTGCATGCACTTGCTCCCGCCACACTTAACAATGTTTTTCGTTTGGCACAACATTATGAGACATCACCTCTTCCACTTCTCGCTGCACATCCTTTAGCTCCACTTCTTATGGGTGATGGTCTTGTTCCAATGGAGGTTGATGCTACTACTGCTCGAGTTCAAAGACAAGGGCGAGGACGTGGTCATGGCTGTGATGTTTGTTGTTGGGCGTGTGATGAAGTTGGTCATACTTATTGACGTTGTCGGCATTTTCCAGATTGGCAATCTCCATTTCCTGGGTGAAGATCTTGGTGTCAACAACGTCCTATTGGTGCTGCTGCAATGGAAGGTCTGGACACTGAGATGCATCCGGGAAATGAAGAGTCGCGTGAGTAACGAAGGGACCTTGTGCGAATAAGTTAGTGACCCCTCCATCTTTCTTTCGGGAGTATTATCAAGGGGTTCATTTAGCACTAGTTCATTTAGTGTTTACTTTCCAAGCTCATTTTTATAACAAGAGGTCTCCTATTATTTTCTCTGTGTTGATTGATACAAGTTCGAGTTTATCTTCTATTGCTCGACCTGTTGCCACACTTTGCCATCTACATTTGCGTCGTGCGGCAAAACCAGTTTTTATTCTTTATAGCAATAGGCATAAAAATGCATGTGCATGGGATGAGGTAGACTTGGTTGTGTGTGTGGGCGATCTCGAGCTTGAGTTGCAGCCATTGCAAGTGGTGCTGAGTCAAGCTTTTGACTTCATCCTTGGTATGGATTAGCTGTAGCGCAATCATGCCAAATGAGACTTTAAGGTTTCTCCCCCTTGTCTCATACTTCCTTATGTTTCATCCATTCCTTTCACTTCCGTACCTCTTCATTTCTCTACTTCTACCTCTACTTCCATTACTTTTGTTCCCCCATTATTTCCTCCTATGCTTTTGTTTTGTTTTGCTCTTCCCTTTTTCGATCCCTCTGACAATCTTTGTCTTGTAGTGGTTGACAGACTCATGAAGGAGTATTCTGATTTCTTTGACTTTGACCTATCATCTGAGGCCAAGATTGCTACACGTCATCCGATTCCAACCAGAGATGCTTGTCCAATCAAGGTTCTTGTTTGTTGTCGGTCACCCAAAGAGATCAAGATTTTACGTGCAAACGTCAAGGAGATGTTGAAGAAGGGTGTTATTTGGAAGTCGCAAAATCTTTGGGCATGTAAACTTTAACTTGTGACAAAGCCTGATGGGAGTATTCGATTCTGTATTGACTATCGTCCATTAAACGAAGTGGACGATCTCGGATGTGTACCCTCTTCCTCACACTACTGATCTCTTATATCGTCTGGGGTGAAGTCATTGGTTCACCAAGTTAGATCTTGCTTCTGGGTACTGGCAAGTACCAATGGCCGAAGAAGATATTTCTAAGACTGCTTTTCATACACCATTTAGTTTGTACGAGTTCTTGGTGATGCCGTTTAGTTTGAACAATGCTCCAGCAACTTTCTAGCAGATGATGGACGAGGTTCTTTGCGATATGCCGAAGGTGACTGCTGACTTTATTGATGATGTCTTGATCCACTTGGAGGGGACGTAGAAAGAGCATGTTTGTGATATTTGTAAAGTGTTAGATCAGCTACAGAACGTTGGTTTAAAGTTGAAGCAGTTGAAGTGTATGTTTGGATCCAAGGACACAACTTATCTTGGGTACTATATTTCTCGTGAGGGTTTGCAAGTTGATTCTAACAAACTTGTGGCTGTTCTAAAGTTCTTTACTCTGAAGTGTGTGAATGATGTGCAACACTTTTTATATCAATTGTTTTGTGGATCATATTTCTAATTGCACTACACCATTGTGAGCATTGTTGAAGTCATCAACGTCATCTTTCATTTAGTCTCTGGATTGTGAGGGGGCGTTCATGGATCTCAAAGAACTATTAATGACTCCTCCGGTTTTGGCATATCTTGACTACATTTGACCTTTTATTTTGCTCGTAGATGCTTTTGATATTGGTCTTGGAGGTGTGTTGATGCAAGAGAGTCCGAGTGTGCCTGGTCAGTGCCATCCCATTGTGTATATAAACTGTACATTGCAACTAGCAGAGGTGAACTACTCCATAACAGAGAAGGAGTGTTTAGCAACAATCTAGGGTTTCAAGAAACTTCATGCATATCTACATGGTTCTCAGACGTTACTTGAGGGTGACCATGCTGCCGTTACTTCATTATTGAAGCGAAAGAACTTTGTTAATTATATTACTTGGTGGGCTTTAAGACTTTAGATATATGATTTTGATGTTGTTCATCACCCAGGGAATTCTATGGCTGATGCTAATGCCCTTTCTTGAGCTCCTCTTCCTTCTCCACTCTCTTCTCATGTTTTTGACGAGCTTGTTATTTTAGCATCTTTGGATTTTCTAGACAAGGATTTTGTGCCGTCAGCGGTTGCTATACTTGATGTTCAGTGTCTACAAGGTGTAAAGCAAAATCTACCTTCTCTTGATGAAGTTCGCAAGGCTCAAAAGACTGAGCCATGGATTTGAAGGCTTCGAGATTGGTTTACATCACTTGTTGATGCCTTGCCATTTCGGCATTTACATTCTCAATATTGCATTGAAGACGGCCTTTTTTATTTTGTGGGGATGGATCTTGATGATCATTTATGGCTGGTGATGCCTTTTGTCTTTATTCTGCTGTTTTTCCATGCCTACCATGATTCTCTTGTTCTAGGTAGGCATATGGGACATCATCGTATGACCGAGAAGCTGCACAGGTCTTTCTATTGGCCAGAGATGCGACATGATATTATTCGGTATATGCGTAGTTGCATTTGGTGCCAAGCTCGTAATACTCCCCCTCGTGCCGTAGAAGGACTATTGGAGTTAATTACAGTTTCCTGTCCATTTGAGTTGGTGGTATTTGATCTTATGGGACCTTTTCCATTGTTAACTACTAGCAATGAGTATGTTATTATTGCTTCTAACTACTTGACTCGTTGGGTGGAAGTTGATGTTCTTGCTAGTGCCTCTACAACTGCTATTGAATACTTCCTCCTCAATCGAGTGGTGTTTTAGCATTCTTGTCTAGAGCGGATTCTTTTGGATAATGGTCCCGCATTTATGGTAGAGGCATTTCATATTTTGACATCTCAGTTAGGGATATGCCACACTTTTACGAGTGCTTATCATCCACAATCAGACGGTTTAGTGGAACAGCTTGTTCAGACGTTCAAAAGGATGATCGCGAAGTATGTGAACTTTCAGCATTCAGATTGGGATGGTTATTTGCCGTCTCTTTGGTATGCATATGTCACAGGGGTGCAGAGTGTTGTTGATGCTTCACCATATAAACTTCTATATAGTTATGATCCAATATTACCAACGGAGCTAAGTTTACCTTCATGATTGCCACGAGCTGCCGATGCTAGGTCATGGGATTAGTATTTAACAAGCATTCTTCCACTTGTTCGAGCAGAGTCTGCCAAACACTTAGGCCATGTACAAGTGGGACAACAACAGCACTACAACTCCCATCATCGTCCACCTACGGAATATCAAATGGATGACTTGGTGTTAATCTATTTTCCCTATCTTACGGTATGTGGTTTATCTAAGGGGCTCCTTGCTCAGTGGAAAGGACCATATTAGGTGTTGCAGTAAGTGGGACCACAAGTTTATAAGGTTTGACATAATGTTTAATAGGCCGATCCTCCAGAGATTGTGCATGTGTAGTAGTTAAAACATTTCATACAAAAGGATCAAGAGTAGTTAATACCGCCTACAGATCCGCTAATGCCTCTTCCTAATGTTCCTCCAAATTCTGGCCCATCTATAAGAGAACCCTAATGGTCTTTCATTATTCCGAAAGGAGGGAATGATGTGAGGGCTAAGTGTATGGCTATGATGCCATATACTAATGTTAGCGTAATGGGATTTTGCTAGCTATTGGATTGGTTTCAATCTGGACCACTTGTTCCTGTATATAAGTTAGGGTTTTTGGGCTAATTGATATACCCATTTTCTATATTCCCTTTCCATATTCTAAGCACTCACAAATCAAGATTTAGCTTTACACATAAAACACTAACTTTATGGGTGGATATATATATATGATATAATCATAAGTGTATATCTTTTACTTTTAAATATTAAAACAAATTAAATATTATTCTTTAAATTTTAAATTTTTAAAATACTTAAAATAGAAATATGGTTACAATATGAGTTATTAATTAAAAGTTTAAATAAATGTTTAAGAATAAGGATTCATAAATTGTACATAAAAATATAATTAATATTAGTGATATTTTTTTGAAATAACAATAACATATCATGAGGTAGTAAATGTCAATATAGAAAGTGTGTAATGAGTAAAAACTTGTTTACATAACTAAATTTATATAGATTAAACTTGTTATAGAAAAACTAAATAAAAAATAACTAACTAGTAGTAGGTTTGGGATAAATTGTAAAATTAACTTTTAGTTTTTTTAAAAACATTCAATAATTATTTGAAACATATAATAGTTGCTAAAGTTTTAATTTTCAAAGTTTTCTTATGTTTTTTCCATGTTTTATCTCAATTTGTTATTATGATATTTCTAAATATTTATTTTATATAATTTATTTATTTAAATTTGTAATATTAACAGAAATTATAAGTAATATAATATTGTTAAATGTTAAAGTTTTTTATTACATTCTAAAACTCTTTTATAATAAAAAAGATTACTGTTGAAAATATAATAATTATTCAATTATTATTATATTGAATTGTTTTGAATATGGCAAAATGATACACAATTTCGGATAAACATGTCAAACTTTGACTAAAATAGTTATTCCAATCAATTAATATGTCTTTATGCATAATAATTTATCAATAACCTCATTAATCCTAATTTAACTTTATTGTATTAAATAAAATTTTCTTAATGTTCATTTTTTAACAATCATTTTCTATTAAATATTTTATTGTCGGACAGAGAAAAGACAAAAATTTGGCGGCAAAGAATAGCCCTAATAAGATGAACACCTCTAGGGCAAGGAAATCGCCCAGCGACAAGGCGGCAGCATGGAAGGCCAAGGTGAGTGGCGCTTTTCTTCATAGCGCTCACTAATTTCTTCGGTTGTAGCTGAGAGAATCGTGCTTGATGCGCATGAACCACCACAGGAGCCAGCTGCTCTGGGAATTGCGATCGCCAAAGTCTCAAGAACAGGTGTGGCGTGACTACCTTCATTTGTTTTCTATTGTTTTCCTTCTTCTTTGTGTTTTCCTTGCAGGTGATCAAGGAGATTATGAGCAAGGAGCTGGAGAACATCCGGATTGGAGGAGAGGACGGCGATGGTGACATGCTGTGGAACTATTCCTCTGCTGGATCAAAGTCGCCGTCGGAGCTATCGCCACAAGAGTACGAGGATCTTATGCTCGCAATGCAAGCGGTTTTGTACCAAGGCACGTATCCTGAGCAGCAGCAGCACGGTATGGATTTTTAATTCTTGGAACGACAACTTTGAGCTGAGATCTAGCTATAGACGATCTCGAGGACTACGAGAAGGCGACAGCTCTCGAGGATTCCTCGTTGGCCAGTCTTTTCGAGCAGAATCACCAGGTTTGTCGAGCTTTCTTGACTTCCCTTCGAAACGTTTTGCGATTTCAAGTTCTCTCGCAGGAAAATGGTGTACTTTGCCCGCTTTGTCGGCGAGGATTCCTGTTGGACAAAGAAAATAGCATCAGATGCAGCAGTAATGGCTGCCTGGACTTGGAAAGTCAGCGCGACAAGCTCAAGGTGAATGAATGAATGATTTCACGTTTCAGTGCATAGAACTCGATCGAGCATGTTTGTGCAGGTGGGAGTCGAATTTGTACGCATCCGCTTGGCAGAGCTGATGGATCAACACTACAGCTCGGGTTGTAGCAGCCAACCGGTCTTCACCTTCAAAGACGAGTTCCAGAGCCTGTTCATTCTGTGCAACTCGTGTGACTTCTTCGAGGTTGTCGTATAGATACATAGGCGAAAGGTGTTTTATACAGGCACGGGTGTTTTTCGTTCGCACGCCGGAGCAGGAGATTGATCATCAAAGGCCTCAAGAAGAGAATTTCCTTTCTCTGGAAGCTTCGTTTTATAGCTGGAGATGAGATTAGTATGTGTATATAATAAAGTTAACGCTTGCGTCTCAAGAAGCAATATTTCGGGACGATCCTGCTAGGAGCGTAGGGTAGTTTTAGAATTGCGAAATTCTTCATGAATTGTCCTCTGGATGATGGCGTCTGTACCAACGTCCACAGCAGCAGTTGCTTCGCCCAGAACAAGAATCTCACACCTCCGTTGTAAAGCTCGTGCTAGACTAAGGAGTTGTCTCTGTCCGACGCTAAAGTTTTCTCTGGCTCCTTCAATACAAAATGAGAACAAGTACCAAAGAGAAACACACCAACCTCTGCGTCTAACCGTTTAGAATTCCGCTTCACGACGTCCTTGAGATTATCTCTTTCCAGAGACTCCCAGACCTTGACGTCCTTGTGCTCGTTGAAAGGATCTAAATTGAAACGAATGCTACCTGAGATAGAAAAACGCGTCAGAAAAGACTTCGTTTTTTTTTTTAATGTACAACCCTGAGAATAGAACTGGCGTCGGTGGAATGATTCCGACAGCGAGTCTCGCAATCCCATCATCGAAATGTCATACCCGTCAATCAGAATCTGTCCACTCTCGATCTCCACCAGACGGAACAGTACGCTGAGCATGCTGGATTTGCCTGTTCGAGCAGCCATTCCCACCTTCTCACTCGCAGACAGGCCATGCAGCACGGGCGGAAGATCCGGACGATATCTCATGACTACTTTGGCTCCAGCAGAAGGCCAACCGGGAGGATGACGTCGGTTCTCAACCACGAGTGGAGCTTCCGGGGGTAACTCTGCGTAAGTCCCCACCCTTTCAACGGCGTTGAAGCTGTTTCTCGGCTAAGCTTGCTAGTCGCAATACCGCCGTCAATAACGAGGTGATGCTGAGAGCGTAACTCAAGAGCAGGCCCATCTGAGGTGCCACAGATGCTTGACTCGATGCGTTTGCATTGGCTAAAACAGCAAATGCCGCGGCGAGAAAGATCATGAGGCCCCCGATGAACTCGAGACGTATACCGAGCCACCTGTTTCCACTCATATTCACGAGCGTAAAACGGACGTTGTTATCCATTGTCTTGCCATTAAGCTCAGCAAGGCGATCATGAGCTCTGCAAGCTCGAATAGTCGCCACGCCGTTGAGTGCCTCCCCAAACTGTGCGTAAACAGGAGAGCGAGTTATAGAATCTTCCCGCATAGTGCTCTGTGTGGAAAAGAAAAGTCAGTATCAGGAACCAGAAAACAAAGATACGCTGCATAAAATCCAACAAGGAGACGTAGAATACCCCTGAGAGAGATCGTATTAACGACCCCTATGAGCACAAACGCAGACAAGCAACAGTGCCACGTTCCTGTCGATCTCTCCGGTGTCTTTAGCGAGCGGTTCACAATACGGCCGATTGGGTTTGTATGAAAGAAAGACATGAGCACGAAGGACGGACGCCAGCATCCCGTTGTGAAGGTGTGATGCAGCGTACAAGCTCGAGGTGACGAGCCACAAGGAGTTTAAGAGCGTAATCAGAACCTGCAATTCTCGGTCAGGAACATAGAAGCTTAAACTTACAACTAGCAAGATACCTGACAAAATGACAGTGCTCCATAGATACCATTGTAAAAGTTGGGACTGTGTTCTTGGCCCGAAGTTGGCTGTGTCCAATAGCTGAGCCAAAGTCGAAAGGTTTCTGCCATAATGTAGCAAAGAAATAGGATGGCGACAACCCAGAATCCACCGAGAGCATTTTTGTACCTGCAAAACAGAGAAAATCAGAAGCTGTATACAAGTAAAAAATGTAGTTACCTTTCCAGAACCCGAAAACCTATAACACCTGTTTCTCTTTCTTCTTTCTTTATCAATACCGATTTCTTCTTCGAGCTCGATCTCTTTTTTAGCCTCTGAGTTTTCATGTCACCATTTATGTTCTAACCATTCAGCCGACTCTTCGTCGGTATTTAACATCTTTCCGGCATTCTCCATAAGCTGCTCCATTCGAAATAAGGTCCTCGTATGTTCCCTGCTCCCTTATCATCCCGTCGTGGACCAAGAAGATATAACCAACTTGTGGAAGAAAATGGAGCTGGTTTGTCGCCAGAACTCTCGTTTTTTCTCTTAGTTCGCCACAAAGACATTTGTCAAAAACTTTGCGGCGACGTGTGCATCAAGTGCACTATGGCGGTCATCGAAGAGATAAACGTCCGGGGCAGCGTAAACAGCTCATGCTATAGATACTCTTTGCATCTGCCCGCCACTAAGATTGATACCTCGCTCGCCAATTTCTGTAAGGTCTCGATCCTGCCGAACTGTTTAGTACAAATTATACAATTTAGAAAACTACCTAAAACTAATATTTGGAGGTCCCGTGCCAATGCGCTTCGATAGCCCTGTTGTAGCGCACTGGATCGTAAGGAGCTCCAAATAATACATTATCACGGACCTGTTCAACAAGCGTTGTTTAGTTCCGCTAGAAAAGAAAAAAAATCTTACAGTGGCGTTACTTGTGGAACATATGCTACTCTTCCTCTCAATACAATTTCCATATCAGCAAGAGGAGGCAGCTCTCCAAGAGCAGCTGAAATTAAAGAGGTTTTTCCCTCTCCAGTTCCCCCAACAATGGCACAAAATATCCAACTGGGACCTCAAAATTTATGTGTAGTAATGCGAGTTCATCGGCAAGAAGGAGCTCTTGCGATCTCGTCAAGGATACTTTCGCATTGACAGCCTGTAAGACCACATCAGCAATTGAGCGAGCATCTAAAAACATCCACCTGTTATCAGACTCGGGAGCATGAATAAGGGAAATCTCACAATAGAAAATAACGAGAGAGAATTAAAAGCTTTTGCCGGTGCGTGTAAATGCCAAATGCTAAAATTTGTAAGAAAAACAGGAAAGCTGTTCAAGAGAAAGCTGTTTATCTGCAAGAGGAGATGTTTCAGAAGATAAAAGAAACGGTAGAACGAAGGGAAGTTAAAAGCTGTGTTTTACGGAATCGTCATTCTGAACCTTTGAGCTAAAACTATCCTCCCAGGCATAGCATCTGTGTTACAAAAGTAAACACCGAGACAATAAAAATACGTATACGTACTTCACAACGTCCATGGCTGATAAAACTTCAGAGACCAGGCCGATACGTTTGTTGTGTCAAAATATCTATAAACGAAAATATACCGAGCGGGAAACATCAACAACAAAATTGATGTACCAATCAAGGATGCAACGCCGAGTTGGTAGTACAGGAAAGCTACAGCTTCTACAATCCGTAGGGGAGCTGATCATAGGCCATCTGGTTGGCTACATTTTTGCTGTTGTAAATTTAAATTACGACCATGAAAGTACCTGAAGAGCTTCTACATCAGTAATCAAATTTACAATTTTTCCCCAAGTAAATCCCTGTTGCCCAACTTGACTTAGACGAACAGATTTTCGAAACACCGCAGCAACCTATACAATGCTTTACTGGTTCGGACCTGGGAATAAAACCAACCAGAATAAAGCGCACACAAAATCCTGTATGTAATATGTTTTGAAAATATAAATATTGCCATATCCCAAACACTCACATTGGTAGAAGAGAGGGGCATTGCACTTTGCAAAATACACCTAAAGCAAGCATTGAGAAATAAAAAATTAAGAGACAAGATAAGTGATGTCATTTACTATGCCAACAAATATTAGTGCTGCATATATGTAGCCTTGCCAAACAGGAGCACCAGTTTGCATTAACTATAAATCTGAGACGTTTGAACAACTTTAAAACATTATTTGCACTTGACTGACCAGATTCAGGAAAAAAGGTCCAACTAATTGATTAAGACCATTTCCAATCTAAAACACAAGAAATGCTTAGACAACTGGACGAGAAAAACTTACTTTAAAAATTCCACCCAGCCAGAATCTAGGGAGCGTAAAGAACATTTCATCAGAGAAGAAAAACAAAATAACTTCCTAAAAGCGCCAAACCTAGGTCCAAGACATCTGTGTAAAGCTGCCAAAAGCCACGGATTCGCCTTTTTGCACTCGTCATCCCAGAATTTCCTAAAACTGCAAGGAAAGACAAGAAAGATCGTCTGCAAAGCTCTCCAGCAAATTTCTTACTCTCGAAAGAGATGCTCCGTCCTATCCCACTCATCAAGCTGCCACATATTCTTTTCAGTAAGCGGTCTCTTGTAGCCTGTCTCCATTAGTGGAGTCATCCATGAGAAGGCAATTCCTGAGAAGGTATGATCAGCACACATTTTAAAATGCAACCACGTAGTCGAGAAAGTGGATGCGTGGCACTCAGGGCAAACTTTCATCTGATCTTCATACTCAACTGTAATGTCCTCGGGGATGGGACGATAATCTCCTTCCTGGGTCTCTGGGGAATAAATCCATGCGACAGCAG